TGTGGTCGCGTGTGCGTGTACGTGTGTTACGATTACAAGCATATAGCTTGAGCAGGCGGTGTACGTTCGAGGTGGGGAGGGGTGGGGAGGGGTGGGGTGCTTGTGGTTAACGAGCACGTTCATTATACACATTATCCATTACATACAGCCGCGCATGCGTACATGGGCACGTAGAAGGCCGTCGTTCTTTATCAGCCGTAATGGCCCGCGCCAAAACTCGTTTCGCAGCCGGGCGACGAATTTCCTTTCGATTCGAAGTCGAAGCGAAATGGGGTCGTGCACCTTTGATGATACATTCATGCACGCACGCACGCACGCACGCACGCACGCGCATACTTACATGCGTGCATGAACGCGCACGCCATACACGCACGAAGGCACATGCACACACGTCATGGCCATACCACAGACATACACATGCACACGCGCGCATGCGCACGCACAAGCATTGTGTGCGCGCGCGCGTACGTGCGTGCGTGCGTGCGTGTGTTTGTGTGTGGAGTGATAGCACTCGTTGCATGCGTGCGATGACAAGGTAGGGTCGGGCCGTGACGGCAGGCAATTGTACGGTCGCACTGGAGGTTGGTAGGTAGATTAGCGGTGCCCCGACGGGAAAGGCACTTTCACGCAATTTAATCCCATTACTCACCGAATAACGGTGCGTGTACGCCCCCAGCCGTAGGCCGCAACTACATTGGGTGGGGCGATCGGATGTCTCGAGACTCGAGTGCATTAATCCAATCTCGCATATTTACGTCGAATTAAAAGAAAGGCGCGCGTAGGCGCGGACAAATGATGTCAAACACGTATCCGTAGCCGACTAACTCGATTCTATTTCGCTTATACCTCTGGCCCGTTTTCACCTGAAACTTACGTGATAATTTTCCCATAAACGACATAGCTCAGTGCTGTGGTGCTAGCGCCCGTGTCACACGCCTACGCATATACACATTAGTTTACAATCGTGTAATAGGCTAAATGGAGAAACATGCGCAGCAGAATGGAGTGAAATTAGTGCACTCTTTTAAGCCGCGCATTCTCTCGCGTGCGTGCGTGCGTGCGTGCGTGCGTGCGTGCGTGCAGTGAATGCGGGACGCGAAATTATGAGCATTAATATCTATTAGTAGCTTTCCTGTCATCAGCGGTCGGCGCTATTAGTCAGCTAAATAAGAACGTGTGATGCGCACAGTCTCGCTATCTCTTGTAGGGGACGACAACGATTTGTCACAAACACAAGAAGCATTCTTCGTCTATAGCAGTTACGACTGCTTCACGCTTGCTGCCGCAGACCGATGCAGGCCAAGCGAGGCTGACCTAAAAGTGTAAGCGCGATGGAAAATCCGATTCGTAATGGCAGTCGTTACGTTTAGTAGGCTGGAACCCTTTAGGTTGTAATGCCAACAATGCCATACAATTACAGGTAAACGCTCGCAAACGTTTAACCATAAGGCGAGCGGAACCAGAAAATACGCGAGTGCGCATGTGCTCGCGTATGCGTGCGTGCGCGCGTGCGCGGGTGTGTGTACTCTATGTGTGTGTGTGTGTGTGTGTGTGTGTGTGTGTGTGTGTGTGTGTGTGTGTGTGTGTGTGTGTGTGTGTGTGAGGGAGATGGCGAGAGCGACGATGAACGCACACGCGCACGCATGCACGGACACTCAACAAGCTCTATCGCGCGACAGTGACGAGCTACATGGTGAATTACTCGTAAACGGGGGGGGGGCGGGTTATAAAGCCTAACACTCATCTCGTGAGCGGATGAAGCCCTAATGTATATATACATGCGTCACTCACTCACGTCACGGTGCTCTCATTGAAGCGAATAATAAGTCGCTTCGTAGAGAAAAGCGTAACACAGCGGCTGCCTTCGGCTTTACGGGCGAAAAAAATCCTTCGCCTAGAATAAGGAAAAAATGAGTGAAAATTGGAAATTCCAAATTAGAATCCCAAGCATTGCTATATAGTGTCATGTGCAGCTACATTCGTGTAAACTGCATGCTTACAATAGATTCGCATCGTAGAAATATTTATCTTTCGAGTGAGTTAAAGTACATCCAACAGTTGTGCTGTGGTTTGTGACTATATTGGTGTACGATCGTAATAACATTTACCACAATGTTTAGCTAATAACAAAAGCCTCGATGTTTAGAGGCGTGATCTACTTGTGTTGGGGTTTATTAGTGAATTTACGTAATAACTGGGGCAAGAGTGAAAGCGATACTATCCGACAATGAAATTCGTCCGCCGCGCTGCATTACTGACCCGCTTCAAGATTTATGGGACGCGCGAAAAATTCCGTTATCGCACAAGTGATGCTGAAAAATGCGTAGCGGAAAGCCTACGTCTCTCGTTCGCTTGGGCGCGCGCACTCTATTTTATCTCGTTTTGAATATCAATCGTGTAAATTTGGCTCTTATATAGACGAGCTTCGGTCGGATTACTAACAAGTTTAAACCCGCGACTGTATACATTTATAGCGCGCAGGAAATCGGACCGTACGTCTTTCGAGGAAGCGCGAGGCGCCGAGTCGGATCGGAGCGACGTCGTGGTGCATTAGTATATTTCGGCTTAGCCCAGAAACACAGCATCGCAGCTCTGTATATGTGTACCTGCACACGCGGGACAACGACATGCGCACAAACAAACAGCAATCACTTACGAAGGACGCGCGAAGGCCTACGTCTATCCGGGTTGATTGCTCTGTGTTCCCCGTTCTATACCTACCACCCTTATCGAGTCAATATATATATATGTGTGTGTGTGTGTGTGTGCGTGTGTGTGTGTGTGTGTGTGTGTGCGTGTGCGTGTGTGTGTGTGTGTGTGTGTGTGTGTGTGTGTGTGTGTGTGTGTGTGTATGCGTTCTGCTGTATGTCTGGACTTGTAAAAAAGGGAGACAGTGAATGGCCTGGCTGTCGGTAGAATAGGAGACGTGTATGTAGCGGTAACCAGTTTTCAGGCAGTCACCTGCCGTCGTCCACGGTTCGTTCACCTGGCGGGTTCCCCCTCATTACTCCCGTAGCATGACACCCCGTCACTGCCGCGCGTGATATATCAACGCAGTACGATCCGACACACATACGCAATACTGGCGAGTAATGTATGTACAGGCTGTGAGACCCAAACTCAAGCTCCCCTACTATTTCTTTCTTATATTTTAATTATATATCACAGTTTAACTTTAATACGCGCCGTGATCTCTTTCGTGCACTCTTGGTTATATTATTTATAATCACTGGCGCATAGCATTGTACACTCTACCTTTATACAATACCTGTTTGTCATATAGTCAAAACATATTTGTCACAAGCATCTGTCGTCTGGTGATCGCGATCGCAACGCCATCTGCGCCGACGCCGATTCGCAGCAGCCGACTCGCATTGTTTGTCGAGATTGCGCACGTTTTGTTCGCGTCAAACACTCTATCGTTCGACGTGCTTGCGTTCGCGCGCACCTGCGGGATGGCGGCGCAAGCGAGATTTGTCGTCGGCGACGGTGGCGGCATCGGCGTCCATTTGTCGTCGGCGACGGCTGGGCCGGAAGCTGCGATATGCGTTCCGAAGGTAAGAAAGCAAAATCGGAAGCGTTATCCGGCGCACTGAGAGTAGGGTGCGGAGACGTACAATGTGCAATGTGCTGGTCGATAGAGTGTCGGCATTGAGAGAGCGCGCCGGTAACGCGCTTGCTTTCGCTCACTCTCTCTCTCTTTTACTTTCTCTTCCCCCTATTGCTCCCCCCACCCTTTCTTCTCCCCTTCCCCCTCCCCCCTCCCCCGAGGGTGAACACGGTAAGCATCCGGTGCATTCCGTTCTTCATC